CCCCCCCAAACTTCGCCGAGTTTCCGCGGAGAGGAGCGGAGCGGCTCCCGCCCGCACCCCAAATGGGTGGCTTGGGGTCGGGGTTGGCTCAGGGCTGGCCACGGCCAGCTCCGTGCCCGGGATTAAAAAACGGCAGCAGGGCAGCTGTCGAGATTAAAAAAACGCTTTCTTAAATTAAAATAATAATAATTGGACGGAGGGGTCTATACAATGTACATCTTCCCAAACTCCCGGAGGCCCTATAGTAAAACAAATTGCAGAAGTTGTCAGGCGCTGTTTTAAGCCGTTGCTGCCCAAGATTAAAATTCGGGTTAAAGATGGTCTTTCAATCACAATCTGCCATCACCTCTTAAATTCATTAACCTGGTCAGCTCTAAAACTCAAGAGTTACCGGTTGCGAAAAACCATTGGACCACAGCTAGAACCACCACAGCTAAGGCAGTCAGACGCTCCCCACCGTACAACCCTGTTCTGGGTCCTTATAATTTGCCAAACTTGAATGAATTAAGCTGCAACTTTCTGCCTTGGCAGCCTGTGCTGGACGTTTTACAAATGCTCCCAAGTCCTTTGGCTCTTCCAAGGATGAAAGCAAGAGGAGGAGAGGAGCATTGCTTTGGTCATTCTTGGGCTTGTTGAGGTTTTTTGGTTTGGCTTTAGGAACGTAACTCTGGAAGTAGGGTCTTGAAATTTGGCGTGAGGCAACCTTTTATGGTCTTTCAGATCAACCCATCCAAATTAGTCATGTTACTGGGTTTTGAAGATGAGCAGGTCACAACATGCAGCAAAAATGTGCCTCATTCTGGCTGCTGAAGTCCCTCGAGATGCTGCTCTTGGGGCACCTGCCGCCCCAGTGCTCAGACCCTGCTCAACGGCCCCCCAGGGAACTGGAAACTTCATCTCCTAATTAAAAAAGCCTTTCCTGGTAGGACAAGAGCAGTGGGACACATGAGCACAGCCCCTTTCTGCCGGTCCCCACCAGCCCCAGGCACCTCAGCAGACGCCGGCCCCGCTGCCAGGACTTCACCTATGGATCGATCCCACCCCATCTATATGCAGAGGCTGTGTGAAGGGATATTTTGAAGGTCACTGTGTTACCTGGTCACAACGTCAGAGATGTCCAAAGTGAGGCATTCTGTACCAATTTATGGAGACTTTCTTGTGCATGCATATTCCAATGCAGTTCTTAATTACACTGTCACAATCTGTTTTCCATATGACACCTGCACGCCATGGACCTGCTCCGTAAGTCAAAACAGAAACAAATTTTGGCCAAATCTTCATCTTATCTGCAGAACCAAAAACTTGCCCACAGAACAAAGCAAGGGCTGCAGGACATGGACGCAGTCTGACAGTGAGGACAGGATGGAACTCTCCCAAAGACCAGGAGTCTCTCCTGGCCCTTGCCACAGACTTTGTAATGCTAACAAAGTCATTAAACTAAACTTTTGGGTGCTGACGGTTGTATTGCCCACATTGTGGGTGCGTAGCTTGAAACCTTTAGCCTGAATTGCTGACATCCATCTTAGTACAGCTGGAAGCAGTGGGTGCTGTGCTTGCACGTATGAAGTGCTGTATCATGTTAAATGCTCTGAAAAAGCAGACATTACGCTTCTCAGATGGAGTACCCCAAATTAGTCAAAACTGACCTTAATCCATCCACATGTCACCCTGACCTGTCTTCATAACGGGTGTTTGGGGAGGATTAATGAAGGTGCTGAAGCACTGATGCAGCGTAGTGCAAAGTACCGTAGGAAAAAACATGAGGAAATTAATAATTCTGTCTTTGGAGGAACCTGCCAACATCCCTGCCCTGGTCCTGTACGGCACACTGCAGCCTTACGACCCTTCTGGCCATTTCTCCATCCCTCGACGCACCCTCAGTCCGTTTTTGTTATCCAGAAGATGAGCACCTTGTTCTGCTTTGAAAACGGCACACGGAAATATTGGAGCCGTATTTTCTATTGCGGCGAAATCCAAAAGTGGTCAGACATGTGAATAATGTGCTGAGCTAAGGCCTAGGATCATGTGCTGAACAATAGGAACAAGCCAGCATTGCTGAGCCCCTCGCTGACCATCTCATGCACTGCACGCCATAGCGACGCAGAAGAAAAATAGTAACTGAACGTGCAATTAAAATCGTGTTCTGCTTCAACAAAAGGGTGTAGATTAAGTTGCACTGACAACAAGAATTCGGACATTTCTGCATTTGGAGTACTTTCCTGGGTGGTAGCGATCGCATGCTCAACAGATTTTTGGCTACCATATAGGCACACTTAAACAAAACTCGTATACAAATGCATATATGTAACACGTACACATAAAATACCCAGAGATAACACCTGACGGATGGTTCTACAGAAAGGTCATGTATATGATATATACGATACGCAGTTTACATAGCATGACATTTATGTAACACTTATGAAGAGCTCTGACAGGGTGTTGTCAGTTGGCATTTGCTAAGAGAAGAAATAAATCTAATGATAAAAAGGAAAAAAAGCATTTTGGAAGAAATAATACTGCACAAATCCTCTAAAAGGACAGAATTGTCTACACAACAAAGGCTTGGCTGATTGATGCTAAAATAAGCAGTTATGCAACAAGTAAGAAATACGATCTCCAGGGAAGAAACCAGCAACATTTTCCTTTCATCTTCATTCACCGGTGCTTATTTTTGCAAAGCTAGAAGAAAAATATAGGCAACCTTTCGATGATGAGCTTGTAAGTAGAATTAACAGATGGTTTTAAGCGAAGGACGGAGTCTTTATGAGTTTTGTATGAGCTCTGCGGAGTTAAATCCCATCACTAAACACGAGTCCCCCGAAAGTGCCGCAGAGCTATTGCTTCCACTGCCCGTGCCGCTGGGCTGCCACCACGCTCCAGGGGTGCACGGTGCTGGCATGACTAGGTATGAATACGCTGATTTTAGGGGTGAATTGGCTCACCCTAGAGCTACGGGTACAAAACCGTTAAAGCAACTTCAGGAGAACAAGCGTGCAAAATAGTTCATCTCCCAACAGTTCAGTTAATTAAAACTTCTCGACAAGACTTGAGACCAGCAAAAACCTCGGTACAGACAGATCTCACTGGAGAGGAAGAAGAAAACCCAGTTGCCTCATTGGCATTAAATTCGATTGCTGTAGTACGTTAGCACCAGACACGCGGATAGGACAGGTCCAAGGGAGTGCGAGTAGTCCCCAACCGTAATGAAAATCCAATGTCATTTTGAAGACCTGGAGAAACAACCTATTTACTAACGTTAGCTAGTGAGAGACCACGAGGAAAGCTCAGCTCCCTCAGCCTGTTCCTGCTGCAATACCCACCCGGCCCTGATGCTGGGCACTGGAGGACCACCACAGGGCAGGGAGATGCTCTGATGACGGAGAGCTCGTGGAGATCCTCAGAAGCACCACACAACTTGAAAAGAGTGCAGGAGACACACGGCTGCTCGTTTACTGCCTCAGATACCCTCTTCTGAGGCCTCCGGTAGCCAGAAGTCATCAAAATAGCCTTGTGGCTACTTTAATTTCTATCAAAGACCATTCCAGGATGGAAACGTGAAAATGATGAAAATCTTGCTGCATCCGTATCCCAGATAGGGCCGTCCAATATCTCAGCTCTAATCAGGATATTTAGTTTTTACTAAAATGTGTGTTAATTTGGAAAGTAGTAAGCAGATGCAGCAGAAGGAAAAAGAACAAGCTCTGTTCTAAATTACAATAGTAATCACTCCCATCTTTGAGAAAGAACTACTACAGAAAGATCAAGGGAGAGGTGGCCGCTATGGTCATTACAGAAACTAATCTCTTTTCTTTCTCATTCATTCTGCATAATTCTTTTCCTCTCTGAAGCTAAGGAAAAATACTACACTTGGAGGAGAAGAAAATTTGATTTGGCAGATCAGTGATAGAGAGATTTTGTTTGCAGTCTCAATTACCTTCAGTAGCTAGAAATCTGGTATCAAAATAAACTGTAAACAACAACAAAAAACAGATACAGCATTAAATGTCCATCCCTTGATGGATAGCTCAAAAATTCTCTATATTCTAGCAACAGCTGCTTTAATATCTTTCAAAGAAATGGCAGCCTCTCTCTGTCTGAAGGGATTACCTTTAAGGAATGCATCCGTAACTGGTTTTGTGCAAAGATGCTCATGTTCTTGTGGGTTTTGTGCACTGCATTTTTTCTGCCAAATTTCAAGAATCCTTTTTGTTGTTGTTGTTGGTTTCTGTTTTCTGTAAGTTCACTTCTATTGCAAAGCGCATCTAATACATTGCACATTTCATGCAGTCCCCAGCCTGGAAGAACTGGGGCTTTCAAATGATCCTCAAGGGTAGATTTGGGGAAACAAGGACGGTCAGCTGAACGGCTTCAGTGCCGCTCCTGCGAGCGCAGACCTGCTGTAGTTCCTCCTGCTTTGGACGGATCCTTGGGCCCCACAGCAGACCCCCCTGCAACGCACTTCCCCGCTTTCATTCCTTTGCTCCTTTTTTGTCGGCATTTCAAACCTTCCCCGTTAGAGGCGGTGATGGGATATATCATGGCTCCTC